ACAATCCTTCTCACATGGAGAATAGGATACTCCTTCTCTATTTTAAACTTCATGCCACAATGGCTTGTATCCGTCAGTAAAAGGTCTTGTAAGCATTATCTTTGTATCATAGGGATTCAGGTAGATATATTCCTTAGGAAATCCATTTTAACTACATGAACTGTTGATTAGATTGACATGCACTTCATTAAGAAAAAGGATGCATTACCAGATAGCTGTAATAAATTATAATACTTTTAGGTAAATCATGCATGAATTAACCGAGTAAGTCACAGGGTTAGTTAATAATAAGCATCAGTATAATACATGTATGTAAGTTTGAAAATCCATAATTCTTAAAATTTTTATCTTGCATTCCTATAAGGTATTTCATTTTAAAGTGATATGTGATATGTTAGAATACCTTTGTAAAAAGAAAATTAGAAAATTAAAAATTACATTAAAAAACTCTCTTTACTGTCTGCCAAACAATTCTTATAATGTCAATTCAGAGAACTTAGTATTGGATAAAATCAGTTAAATTGTAATTGATATTTTTATTTACCCTCATCACTTGTCTGTTTGATATTGTATTGATGTTGTAAGGGGAAATTTAGTCTTATTCACTTATGGTAGTTGAAGGGTTAAATATAATTGGTTTGTGAAATAACAAGTAATCGGCTCCACCATGCACAAGACATTCTTTGGTGTTATAGCTAACAACTTGCCCATGAGCAGCAATAATAAGGCAAGCTTACCAGTTGAGATTAAGAAAATATGGCACAATGTTATCTTCATAGCAACGATCAAGCTCGCCAAGACAGATCTTGATAGTCTGTTCAGTTGAGCTATCTTTAGGAACTCCCTAAATTGGAAACAGAACAACCTTTAATCCATTTCTATTCAACACCAGTCATGTGCAGGGAGTGATCTAATTGCTGCAGCAAGAGGTCCTTTTATATGCTCACTAATTAACTGCCCTTTTTTCTGACAAGATGTAAATAGATGTCAGATAGTAAGCTGCCATCATCAAAATTTTAAAGGAACTTAGGTGGAGTTAATATGCCAGGCTTCCAAACAAAGGGGCTGATGGTAACATTGATAGTGGTGATAATTTTAGACTTATCCTGTATGGTTAGTTAGGCATGGCAAAGCTGAATTTTCTTTTTTGAAAAAGAGGACTGCTTTTTGATGCTCTTTCAAACATGTACCAAACTAATGTTAGGTCTGTCTGATATACTTGTTATCACAGTCATTGCATGGAATAGAATAAATAGCATCAGTTTGTTGTTCTTTCATGACAGGATCCTAAGGTTTGGCAAAAAAAATGCCTTCAAGTCTGAAAAGGTTTTTGAGCAACTCTAGTAATTTCACTAACTTTTGTTTCAGAAGTTTTCATGGTGTTATTTTGTAGTATCTTGTAACAACATGTAGTTTGCATATTTTGCATTGAGCCCTTCGTTTAACAAAATTCTAAAAGCTTTTGCCATCTTTGGGTTAATTTAACTCTCCATTGTTCAGCTAGTCAAATAATTTTCATGGTAGATTAACACTCACCCATCTTAAGTCACACTCCACAAGGTGAAGTTTTCTTTGTTCACACCAAAGACGCAGGTCTGGGAAAACCTAGGGACAAATTTTTGAAACAGCATGATAAAAATTTCTCAAAACTATGTTATAAACCTGCTTCTAAGATACATCTCTCTGTGATCAACTTTTATACTGTAATGATGTGAGAAATAATATTTGTAAAAAATATCTTACAGTTCAGTCAAAATGAACTTCAGGTTGAAAAATAAATGATTTCAAACTTGCTTGTTTGTACTGTTCTTTGTTAAAAAATCATAACCAATTAATCTCTCAAACAAAGGAAATACAAATTAGACTAGTTTGAAATCATTTCAACATGAAATTCATTTGAAAAAGTACATGTAAAAAAGTGATATATATATATTGATTTAAGTGTAACATTTCACCATTCAATTCTTTGATCTTATTAATACTGTTGCAAATGAGTACATTAAATTCTAAATAAGTGCAAACAATTTTGCATGTAAATCATGAAAATCATTTCTAAGCCATTAACCAACACTTTTTCAAGTTACAAACAAGAGCATCAAGATGAAGAGAAATAAGAGTTGCTACACGAATTACTCATTTCCTTAGTGAATTTGTACTTGTCAAAATGAAGTAAGCTTTTCCATGGCAAAAGGAGATGGCATTTCTTGTTCACTGAGACTTGATGATAACATGTTGTCAAAGCAATTGACAAAAGTACCTAATCCATTCCCTACAGTTTAACATGCAAATATACTCATATTTTATCAATATGCAAAACTTAGAACATGGTATTAAGATGCCAATATCTTGTAAATTTTAAATTTGGGCAATAAATTAATTTGTAGGTCAGATTACATCAAGGAAGCTTGATAGAAATTCGCCATCTTGTTTTGATTACTAATTAAATAACACAACATAATCTTGATAAAAGAAAATTTGTCCTCTCATTGTGGTCTCAAAGAGTCTAGAGTCTAGAGTCTAGAGTTGTTTTTCTCCTCATAAGACGATCTGAGTAAGAATGTCCTTTCATTGTGGTCTTTAAGAGTCCAGACTCTAGAGTCGTTATTCTCCTCTCATACGACGATCTAATCTTTATGAGTAAGAAAATGGTTCTGATCAAACTGTTCTTGTCAACAGTCATTACATATTTAACTGTTGTCTATTACAGGTATTTAGAACGGGACAGAACTTTGAGTTATCGTTTAAGGTTATACATGAAAATAAAGCAGAAATTTTATACAGAAAATGCTCTCAAGTAGGGTTTTTACATCTTACAAGAGGAATGAAGCACACGAAAATCAAACGCTGTAAGCAATCAGCTTAAAACCTCTTTCTTTCGTCTACTGCGAGACTTCTTCGTAAGCACTGTTTTTGGTTCAGCAGATAGATTATTTTCTATCGATTGTATTCTGTCGTGTATAATACAACCCACCTCTTTCACAAGAGCTTCCCTCTCGGCGTGAAAATCACGGAAAGTTGAAGATACAAAGAGTCTTATCGTTTTCCAACCTCGTCGATTCTTTACAGAGTCCAGCCTCCATTCCCTGTTTCTGTCACATGTCTTCTTCACAATCGCCCACATATTTTCAGGATCGCTTGGACGTAAAGCTGCGACTTCTTCGTAGGAGAGTGGGTGAAATTCACTACTGTCGATATACTCGTGCTGGTTTTCAGTTTCGTTCTGTTCGATGCGCGGATTCTCCGGTTTGCGACTATCCTGTTGGATGCTTCGATGCTGCCCCGGTTTACCGTCGTGAGGTTTGGAGGGCAAAGGTGCTCGTGTTTGATGTGCAGTGCTTACAACTGGAGGCTTCGAGGTTCCGCAACCCATAGAACTATTAATACAAACAAGGTCAGGATTAGGTACTCGCGAGGTATTGAATTAACACCAAAACCTAAAGGTTCCGAAGCAGTATCCAAAATCAGCCATCGTCGACCACGCAACACTGTCCTAACTACTTATCATACATTTTCATAAAATTGCGTTATTGTTTTCAAGACCAAGTTTTGTTTAGCATTTTAATATCACGTTGCTTGTAGCAACGGCGTTGTTTACTACTTTCACGCACATGAATGGAGAAAACACAAAGGGCTAATTTCCTTACAAAATTTTCGGTCGGCGGCCATGGTGAGCCCAACAGTGTGTCTTCCAGACCCAGTCTCTTTTTTGCTAATAAAGAACGTTCTCCCCTCAAAAAGCCCTCAATACCGTAGTTACCGAAAATCGCTTACTGATCAAACATACAACCGTGCAAAACGCCCTAAAAGCTTTAAATATCTGTACTCAATCAGTTGCAACTTAAAGAGAGCACTTTGTGTTTTCCATACACGATTAGACATTGATTTTCAATTCATAATAAAGCGGAGGTGTTTTACATTAACACATTGAGGACATTAACGAGACTACCTAGCGCATTTCCTGTGGTATTTTCTTTCGAAAGTCACGGAAATTTGCATTCCATACTATAATTTCCCAAGATTTAGACACCAACAACACCAAAAAAGGATTAAAGAAATACGCCGATACTTACCGGTTGTGAGTTTTTCTCCAATATCACCGTACCGACGAATTTGATAGTCATGCGTACGTGCTCTCATAAATTTTATGAAGTGATATTTTGTATAAAGGTTATGACGACTTCCTAATCTCAGTTCTTTGTTTATAGCTCAATTATCAGGCAGTCTGGACCCAAAATTTATAATTATCCGTAGCTAGCCTTCTCAATGTCATATGATAACATAAAAAGTACACCACTACAATTGTACTTTGGTTGGTAACTCGTTATGCAGAAATACCTTTTTTTATTTTTTTAGTAATCACCCATAACAGATCCCTCTCGCGCTTATCCGCTCCTCAGCTAGTAAAATTCCCTCCGTTTCAAACCTCAAGTATCAACGAAGCTTGTGTTTGGTTTTGTCACGCAACCCTAAAAGTGTTTTGCGTGAGGCGGCATTCTGAAGAGTTAATATTATTTATCACATGGAGGGGTCGGGAAAGATTTTCCAGGATCACATGGTTTTCAAGGGCAACGGGGTAGGGATAAGTCGTCACCAACAGAGTATAAAGGGAAGGCTATGGAAAATCGACTGCAAATTATCGGTCATAAGGATATTTCAGAGCATTATGGGAGAATCAGGTAAATTTATTCGTGACACATCAAAAATCCTCGGACGCCCCCCTTCCCCCCCCCCCTCCCACACACACACACACACACACGCACGCACGCACACACACACACACACAGGCGATAAAGAATGACTGTGGGTATTTTTAAAGAACTAGGCATTCTTTGAGACTTCGAACTCAAAAAAGAAACCGAGGAGATTTACTTACTCTTCATTTTCTTGAATGATAAGAACATTTTTCCTTCGACAACAGAATATCGACAAAACAGACACACTTGAGCTCTCCATCACACTGCAAACAGGCGTTCAGTTAAGCTCTCTGTAAAGTAGTTACACGATGATATTAGAAATATAATCTTTAGCTGCATTGTTGCAGTGAAAATGTGGAAGTGTAAAATAGAAATTACAAAAACACATTGAACCGAGTGCATCGCCACAACGCGAGGTAAGGATATTACTCTAAGAACATAATATGGAGAAAGACTGGGACATACAGCAAAATTAACTATTGAGACCGATGCCCATAATGATTTTTTAACGAAATTTGAAAGAAACTCCTGATTAATCACTTCATACCTTATCACAGGAATAGTGTTGCTTTTGTGTCCAAGTTAACTTTTAAGATTTTTAACTTTAGATCCTGGACCTTTCTTGAAATTAAACATTTTATTTTTTGTTAAACCTTTATATCCTCTTAAATAAAACTTTCGAACTCTTGGAATCCTCTTCGTATAATACTTGTTCTCATCAAAATATTCCCATCACAATATACATCATCTTTGTCATGATAACTATTTGAGAAACATTTTACACACCGTAGACAAGCAAACAAAAAAGGGAAAACTACCACAGGCGTATGCTTCGAATGGAAAAGACAAACTCAGGAGAGCACAGGAGGGACAACCATCCAGGAAAATTTTTAATTGTGATGGATAAATGTCTTAGATAGTTGGTCAGTTAATGTTTCAGAGATCTGGCCCCAGCAGCAACCTGCGGGAGAAAAAGGGAGGACCCTGGGAACGAGGTTGCTATTCAACGTGATCGCGTTCTTCTTCTTCACCTGTAGGATTTGGCAATATGGTGCATGCTTTGTTTTCCACTCTGCTGGTGACGGTTATGAAATATTGACAGGTGATTCATCATACCTCTCTTGTGACAATATGGCTAAAATCGAGCGACTGAATCAAAAAATGGAACTTTCCCAGATAACTTGAAAGCCTGAAATGTTATTTGTTTGGAAATATTTTTTAACTTGAATAGTTTCTTCGTCGTCAAAGTTCATCAAGCAATTTCAATGTTAATCACTAAAATTGCTTTAGTTTAAAATACAGAGGTAAATGTTAAGTTTGAAATGAAGGTTGTCATAAATGATCGAACTTTTTCAAAGATTGTTCTCTAAAGCGCAAAAAAATAATTGTACAAAGCTTCTGCCGAAACCATGGTGCTCCTGGCTGGTGTTGTTCGAGGAGAAAATTCAAACGCGAAAGTCACGAGTTGACAACAGCCTAATATCTCCTTTAAGGTCACCTCAGAAGGAACAACTCTACAACCTAGCAGAACAGAAGTTATGCCATACCTGATGACTGCAGCATTTTCATGAAAGATCGAAGAAAACATCTGTGGCGGTCGCTATCGGGGGAGAAGATTTTTAAAAAGACGTCATCAACACTGTAATTGATTTATTTTTTACAGCAGGGGACTTTTCCCGTCAAATTTCTTTTATTTTCTATAAGGTCAGTTACCTATGCAACATATCTCTTGGTGTGTTTAAGAACTAAATAGTTGTGGTGTTACCGCGTTTCAAAAGAGGGTTTCAGCGAAGAACAACGACACACACGTATTTATCATCAAGGACGGTTTTTGGCTCATCTTGCGTCTCCGTGTAAAGTCTCATAACCCTTTATACCCTAAGATCAGTACGCATATAATCTCCATACTATTCTCCATACATTTCCTATAGAGCTGACAAGGAGAATTTGCTTAACAATCAAGAACTTCTTATGTTGAGTTGGCGATAATATCCTTCATTCTCATAGCCTTAATGTGTGATTCGGGGATGATGTTGTAAGAAGAATGAAATTAGATACTAGTCACTCTTTGGGGTCGAAGGATTAATATAAGAGTATAATTTGGAAAGTGAAACTAAAATTTGAATCACACTCATCTTGAGATGGTTAAAAGCCAAACACATACGTTACCATAGCATCAAACGACCATGACTTTAACTGATTGCACCTCGAGTAGAAGAACGGATAAAGTGTGAGAAACGCGCAAAAATTACGCATGAACTGCTCAATATTTCAGTTGATACATTTCGAGCAGAGAATGGAATTCATCGCTTTTAATAAAATTTCATTAAATTATAAAACTAAAATCATTAAATTATAAAACTTTTCGACTGAGTATCAAAAGTAGCTCAAGCTTTCGTTGATTCAAGTCCGTTTCGCTTTAGACTTTTCTCGAGGAGTACTGGCGCTACTTGTAGAGTCCAGTGGCTTTTTGCCCTCCCTCGCGCTTTTTCCGCCCTTAAGGTTGTTTTCAGATTAAAAAATTGACTTCTCATGTCAGTCATGGGTAATTTGTTATCTTCGTATCCGGGCGAACTGTGAAATTTTCACTGGTCGGACATAAACACAAAAGGGGCGGGTTTGCATGGAATATGACAGAGAGTAAACGCGAGCTAGACATTGATTTCAAGTTTTTATTAAGAACAATTTACAAATGACTCTCCTGGTAAAAAGGAAAACTCACGTCTCTTCAAGAGCTTCGTCTCCTGCCCTTAGTTAAAGGTAACATGTGCTAATTTTTTATGATGCACAAGCTATGAAATGGCTCTACGAACTTGCAAGATTCAGTCGGCATGGTGGCCGAACCACGTTTTAAAATGTACACACTGCACTGAATTCCGATTGAATAAGTTCCAGAAATAAGCAGAGGGTCTCAAGGACCTTCTCTCTCTGCTTTTCAGTGTACGTGAACGCCTTGACGATGTTTTCAACAGACTCAAACTTATTGTTTTTGTCGATATGCTTACCGTGGTTATCTATAAAGCTGTAGCGCACTCTAATTCACACAAATTACTGACAATAAATAATAATGATGATAATGATAACAATAATGACACTGATGTTGATGATGATAATAACAACTGTATATTTTCATTTAAATACAGTTGCACTACGGTCAATATTTAAAATTCTTCAAAATTTTTTAAAGATAGACCATTGAGAGTATTTCAAGTGAGATCCAGCACCTAAAAACAGCTAAGACAAAATGTTCTACGTAGCAGTTCCAGCTTTCTTCAGTTCAAAGATCTAAAAGTATTTCCACAAATTTCCTGCGTTTATTTACTTGAAGAACCGTAGAAGTTTTTAAAATTGCGAGACCAGCGTGTGAAGTTTACGAGTTTTTTCTTCACGTAACATCCCTTGAGGTTGACACACACCCACAACTTCGGATTTCACAACTTCTGTCCGAAATTCATTTTTTCGGTGAGATGTATCCACTGTGCTTTGTCATCAGTAATCAGTTTGAACAGTTTCGCACTCATGAAGGCTCAGTGGAAACACAATATCCTAACAACCGACTTCTCCAGGACGGGTTGTCCTCCGTACTTGTGGATAAACTTCAAAGCAATTTTGGGACGTGGGCATGTCTTCCTCCTCGCGATAATTCTCTTAAAAAATTCTAGAAATACCAATAGCCCGAGAGTTAAAGGTGAGTTGAATTTTCGTTGTCACATGGCGACGTTTAAATCCTTCTTTTTATTATCGTACTATACCCTCAATCTTCGAGAGTTTTAGGCGATATTTCTTGGAATTTCGTGGGTGGTTTCGGTGAAGGAGCAGGAGAAAGTCCAGCATCTCCGTTTTGATACACACAAAGCGTGTTAACGCTGCCGTTCGCTGAAGAAGCATCAACGTATCTCTCTCTACCCATCTCAGTGGCATAACCGCAAGTACTGGTTATGTCAATGGACGGCCGATTAAAGGTTCTGGTGTTTGTCGTTGATTCTCCTGCCTCATCTTCGAGGGAGCTCATTTTCATCCGATGTATTAGCTGAAAAAAAAAAACAAAAAAGTAAATGATTTGTAAGGTAGGATCCTCGCCAAAAATCTGGGGGTGTTAAAGGCTGAAAAAAAATCTCAAAGCTGCCCAAAATCTTCACACAATAGATTCATATCCCCTTCTGTCGAATCAAACTGTTTCTTTTAAAGGAAAATTTGGTAGACTTCAGAATATTTGAGCTGCTTTGTTTATGAAAATCATTGTACAATACCCTTACCTTTGGTCTGAAGCGCAAAATTTCCAACAGAATGAGTAATCAAAATGATTTTGATAGCTGTTTTGAATAAACTGCAATGCATGAATAATCATGTGGGCTCGTGCAATCTGTAGTCTTTGAAATCATATATAACTTTTAGTCTTTAATCTCGAGCGCTGATAGGTTTCAAGATTGCAGTCTATTGAAATCGTTTGATTACTCAGTCATTTATATTATGAATTTCCTTTCAACTTTCTTCTTGACTACGTATTTAGGGACGTCCTCTCTGCCATTGATCAAGCTGAAATTTGGCCTTTAGAAAATGCAACAACACTATTACCATTCTTGACCGAGATACTTCTTACCTTTGGGATGAAAATTAAGGATATGGTAACTGTAGCTGGAAATATAATACACACACTCAAGGCGGCGTACAATTGCTCGTATTGATGATTGTTCAGAATCAGCGCCAGAAATGCCCCGATGGTGGACAACACAACTACGTTATACACACAGATGCCAATGACACGAGAGTCGTTGAGATGAGCATACACCACGTTTCTTGTCTCGTAAGCAAGGAAGAGTCCATACAGTAGCAAAACGCCCTTGTATACGTAGATCAAAGCCAACCATACCGTCAAGTTCTTGGCGGTACAGGTGTTCAGCGTTGGTATAATGATGATAAAGGGTTTCTCTTCGTCTTTCTGTGTATACGAAGTGATAAGGACCATTAGTTTAATGTGCTCGTTTCCTTTTATTTAAATTTCAGATCGTTTCTTTTATCTCGCTTATTTCATTATTATTATCATAATCTGTGTCATTTTTATATTCATTATTGTTTTTTACGTTCGATCAGTTCAGTATGCGAACTAACATCTTCGACAAGCTCTTAATGCGAGGCAAGGGTTGGTGGTTGGAAAACAATCCTAACTGGAACTGACAGAGAACGAAGAGAATTTGACCTTTTTACACTGAATTTGAGAATGACTTGTTTTTCTCGTCTCTTATTTGGGGAACCAAACAACTGCTAATTTGCCGTTAATGTTCAGCGCGATAGATTCAGGTCCTTAGGCGTCATTTGCTTGGCTCCTTGTGGTATGTTTAATTTAGAAGATAAGCCAAATACTTCCTGATCTTAGTTAAAGTTTAAACCCATTTTTAACGACCACCGGGCCTTGAAATATGAGTCAGTGTTCTACAACAAATTGGTCGGGTCAGCAGTGTTGTGAAATGAGGTAGTGATTGTTTTGTCAGACGTTCGAGGTGCAAAATAACGAAGTTGTCGATCTGTTATTCTTCTCAAAACTTCCCTTAAGATATATTTGGGACTTCCAGAAACGGGAATGATCTCAGTAAGAGGCAATTTGATGGATAGGGTATATTGACCTGGAAACAAAGGATAGACAGGAAATTCAACCTCCCTGCTTGTTTTTTTGGTCGGTTAACTCACGAGGAATGTAACAGCAGAATAGAGCGTGATTTTAATCAAAAGAAAGCTGTTAAGTGAAACATGCAATGAGCGAGAAAATATGGAACTTACCCTCTGTTCCTGGCATGTTAAGGAGGAAGAGAAATAAACAGTCATGTTAGCTATCAGTTAGCATTAGTAAGCAGATGGATATAAAGGCAGTCAGAAATGAGCTAAAACTGTATTCAGTGACTGTTTTGTTTGCGTGAGAGCGGAAACGTTGTCCCATTCAAGCTTGTCATGGAGAGACCCCCCCACATGAACTCAATATGCTGAAATTTCCCCTCATTAATTCAGTGGGCAAGATGGTACAGTTGAAGACATCCTTAACATATTCACCCCCAGACGTAACAAAAAATGTAATTTTTCTTTAAAATATCGGTACAATGCCGGCCAGGGAGGAGATAAGAAGGAAAGAAAATATCAACGAAGTTAGTACTTAATTCTCAGAGTTGAAATAATAAGAATTGGATGACAGTTCGCCAGGAAAGTGCTCATAGGAGTGCGAGGATTGAAAAATAAATATTTGACTAGAGTAATGTATGTTGATGGCACAGTTCAAATGAAGAATGTGTTTAGATAACCTGAACAAAGACAAAAGCTTGAAAATTATGAACACTGAACGTAAGTATTTACGAATCTAAATGTATAGTTGTCTCATATCAGGTTGTGGAAACAGATGCACTTTCTGGAGTTTAATATTTTGGTCCAAGTGGAATTCGATTAAGAACTTTTTTAAAGGAATAGATGACCACCATAACGTTTACAGCACTCATGGGCTAGGTCATGGATGTTAAATTGGGTGATAAGCTAGGAAACAGCCTATTTCGGAAGTAATGGGTCGGAAGCGGTTATAACAAGATAATCTGATTTTATCGACTAAGTTGATGATGCAGAAAATTTGTCATTTTCTCTGACGAATGGCTAATAGTTGAAACGTCATGTTTAGAGACTCCCACGGTGACAAATTTACATCATTAACTCAGTTACCAACTCAAAACTAAATCATCCTCTATTCCTTACGTTTATAATGTTATGGAGTAGATGCACGACGTTCATGGAAATAGCAAATGAGAAAGAAATTAAATTGAAGTTAGAAAAAAATCTCTAATCAGCGGCGGCTAACATATGTTCAAATGAGGATAGATACGGCCTCTTGCAGATAGCAGGAACTTCAATTTTTGTTATTTGCCGTAAACTTTATGTTTTTCTTCCATAAAACGAAGAGAAATTAAAAAATCCATCAAAACCATAGACATTGGGCGGTACTGTTTTCATTTCTTTACTAACCCTCTCAGTAAAGTTTTGCTGAGCCCACTCCATGGGGTCTTCGATTTCCCACGCAACCATGATACCCACGTCAATTAAAACGATCCCACCAACCATTGCAAGCATCCACCAATCGGACAAAGGACCGAGCTGAAACACAGCAAGCAAGTAACGGTCATGGCTTAATTTGTATCATTCAGACTATCAGACGGAGAAAACAATGAAAAAGAATCCTACAGTCCACGTATTCGCATAACATTATGTGGTTATTACAACGCTAACATTTTGTCTCTCGGATTTTACTTCTGAGTTTACATTTAAGGCAAGGGCGAAAATGGGGGGGGACCTTAAAACGGGCTAATTAGAGGTTCTAGATGGGAACATAGAAGACCCTCTAACAGGAAAGACAAAGTGTCCTCCCCTCAGATGACCCAAAGGGAGGTTTCGATGTGTCACGACTTGATTGGATTCTACACTGAGACCACACCAAACCATATTTTTTAATATCATTTTCTTATAACTTTTAAATAAAGCTGAATATCATCTTTCAGAACTCACGCGAACTTTCAGGCGCTTGTTGGTACAAATCTTGTAAATTCTCCACGTTTTGATGAACATGGCTCCGAAGGCCAATGAAAACCCAACATTCAAAATCCACGCTCGGGCCTGTTGATTTGGAAGAAACATTACTATCAATATCTAGAATAACAACGAATGGTAAAGAAGAAAGGGCGAGAAATTCTTATGAAACAGACCCCCTCATTATGAGAACAGCCTTCAGTTAAGTCGACGACAACCTAATTAGGAACTGATTTTTCTTCTCTTGTCATGTAAATGGACATCAGTGAGGTTAGAGACTGTATCGTACAACTTTGAGCTCAAGTTTAATCCGAGATCTCACCAAAGGGTCGTTTTGAAAACGTTTTCTCTCTGTTCTTTATTGTTACATGGAAGTTATCTGTATAACGCTCATAGGCCACTTTTGATGAACGATAAAGCACTGACCATCAACTTAATTGGATAACTTTTAAACAGTATTAATAAAAGCTTCTAACTCCAACCTCTATGGAAACATCTTGCACGCTTCCACTGGAAAAAATAATTAGAGTAAAATTTTCCTTTCCATTTACCTTGCAGATAGGAGGCATGATTGTTTTTGGATCGCCATAATTTCTCATACCAAATAAATATACCGTACTAAGACACATGATGCAGCCCACGACCATGACATCATTAAATAGGGGTGCAGACAGCCGGATAAACCTGTAACAGAATACCTGTTTTTAGAATTTTAAAGACGAAAAATTGCGCAAGAACCAGGATGTTATGGATACCTGGTGATCTTCGAATCTAAAAGTCGAAGTGCACGAGCAAATTTCCAGGGAAATACAGAGAAATTATGAATCTTGTACTAATCGAAGGTTCCGCGGCAGAACTTCAAAATTTTTCAAGGAAGAGTTTATTAACGAAAGTAAAATCTACCCGGAACAAGCCACGAAATGAAAAAACTTGGAAAAAAAAAACTTTGCGTTCTCTTTTAAACTTTGCTTTTCCTACGCTGTTGTTTGAAGGCATTCCAAGTTTTTCATCATTGCAGTAATCACTTTGTCTTGGCTCAAGAAAGGGTCACTTACGCTCTATATGACCCTCTTTCGATACGCCATTTAAATCGGTGAACATTTGATGTTTCAGCGATTTCACTTTTACCTTAGAAGTCACCACTGTTGAACAAGCAAAAATTCACGGTCTTGAAATCTAGAAAAAGTGGAAAATCTCTCCCACGGATTCCATAGATAATATTTTAGAGAAAATCATACAATTTAAACGCCACTATCAACGTTTTTTACCATGCAGCCAAAAGCTCGTAGAGATCATGAACAACTCAGTTTTAATCTGAATCTTAACCAAAACAGCAATTTAGGCATTGGGAGGGATTGCTTGCGAGAAAACAGCGTGCTGATGGCAGACATGATTGCAATACACGATTGCAATACACTTGCCTGTACTTGCGATAATATCGATTAAACACCAGAAACATTATCCCCAACAGGATTCCAATGGATGCGGCGATTGAAAATACAATATAGAGTTCAATAGCAACGGCTTGCGGCTCCAATCTTTTCTGTGAACTGTCGTAAGGGGTAAAACCATCTAAAAAAAAACATAAAACATAAAGTTAGCCCTTTAGCTTCCATGAGTAACTTGAACAGAAATTCTCTTAACAATGTCTATATAATATCAAGCAGACTAGTGATAAGAATGCAAATGATATCAATTATGAGATCATTAGTTGATCCAATACTTAATTCTCCAAACTAACCTCGTAGAAATTGTTTCATAGACAGAACGAGAATGAATAATAAGGCCTTGGGAGTAAAAAGGTTAAATTCATAATAGTAATAGGACCGAGTGGAGACCAATTCGGTCTGTTATCGCACGAGTGATTAACAAAATCGGACGACGAAGCGGGAGTCCGATTTGTTTATCACGAGTATGATTACGGACAGAATTGGACGACAAGAAATCCTGTTACCAGTTAGTCATAACCATTTCAATTTTCGAAAAAACAAATACACCTAGAAAAATATTTCCAGGGTAGACAATGTCTTTAGTTAAATATTCTTCCATTTTAAAAATTGACTTTTTTTCTTTGGATAAGTTGTTTTTCTGCTATGGTTATTGTGATCAATTCTGTGATTGGTGGATTTAGCTGAATGGAAATAGTATGATTGGCTGCTTCAACTGTCCGATTACAACTGCACAGAATGATTGGTAAAAAATGAAGCAGCTGATGCACCAATCATATTTAAGGAAATTATAATAGTTATGATTAAGTGAGGAATTCTCAAGAATATAGTACAAAGGATCTTTGGATGGAACGAAAAGCTACTAAACTACATGGCTACGCTCCCCTTCGGATAACTCCCCCTTAGTTTTATCACTTAACCCTCTGACCCCTGAGAGTGACTGGCATCTAATCTCTCCTTACAATATCCCCCCCCCCCCTCCCCCCAATCATGCATTCAGGTCATGTGAATAGAGGAAATAATCACCAGCTACAGAGGCTCTTGACTGTTAAACAAATTCTCCTTATCAGCACCTCAGAAGATGTAAAGAGACAGTATGGAGAATATATATACTGATGTTAGGGTGTATAGGGTTAACCTTCAGAACCGAATCCATTCTCACACTTGCCAGGTGCTAATCTTAGGTTCAGTGGTGTAATTTGAAGCGGAGAATTTATAGCGCGACCAAACTGATCTTCAAAGTCTTCTTTTCGTACTTATTTAAGGGTTCGAAAGAAAGTCTTTTTTCCAAGAATACAGAATTGTCGACCAGACCAAGACTTGGGACTCAGTAGATATTTTGATCTGGACACCAGGACTCTAACTGTACGTCGAAATCTTTGGACGGCGAAGGTGTGGCTGCATGGATTCGTGGTATCTAGGCTACATAGCACGTTTACAATTTTACACGAAAATGGAACGTGTTGGTTTATTGATTGCGGTGCTCGGTAATATTACAGCTTTATTGCATAATATTATCTCGCAAATGTGAAGGAGATGCCGAACTTACCACGCACGTAGGCGACGTTGTGTTGGTTCTTGATAATGCCAGAAAATCAAGTTAAAAAACGTCGCGCATCTATCTGCAAATCGCAGACGTCGAAGCAGCGAAAACTCTGTATTAGGAAGCGTTTTGCGCATGAGGAGACGGTAAAACTACTGGCGATTGTCACAAACTTCATCCGGTTATCAGTTTCATCTGAACGGAACGAAACTTTCGTACGGTTCCACGCAAACAGAATGTCCGTTCGAAATTTTTGGTCGATCAAAAATTCGTCCGGTACCGTGTGAACGTACGTGGCTGTAATATAGACATCGAAGAACTAATGCAAAGACCCTTTTGAGGCGTGGACAGCAACCAGATCAATCAAGAATACTGGAACTAATTCTGGAGCGCTTTGACGCAAATGGATCGACTCGATGGTCATCATTTTGGCATTCTAAATCAAGCAATATCTAAACCATATGCTGACCATATCAAGTAATTTAATCATGGATGTGTGCTTTTACTTTTTTTCCGAAAAGGTTACAGGAACAAATCAGATGATCTCATTGGCACTTAGTGCAGTTCGGCTTTTCCTATCTCTGCTCACAGCCACTGTAACGATATGGTGGACAACCCCCCCCCCC